GCCTCTCGATGTCCACCCTTTGGCAGAATGTTGTAGGAAAGCATGTGACGAAGAATTCTGGCTTGAACTGTCAGTTGGTGAATCGTTGGCCTACTACGATCCTGAGCATCTTCGTCTTCGGCAAGACCACATACAGTCTGAATTTGCTTTGTTCTCGAGAAATGAGTTTCATTCCAAGCACTCTAAGAATTGATTCTCTTCCTCTGGTTTGGAGTCTCCAGTACTTCTGCCAACACATTCTTGCTGATACGCATCTCCACCCCATTCACATAGCTTTTAAATGCATGAATCGATCCATTTGCATTATGGTGATAGACGATGTTGTTGTGGAAGTACTGTACCATTTTTGGGTAGTATGGTGCATTGAGAGATATCACATTTAGCCACTCTTGTTCCACAAATGGTGCTAGAAACCCATAATTTTTGAAATAAGAATACACATCGGTCGTCAATGGCCTTCCAGAAGCCACCTTGCGGTTGTGCATTCTCCTCTCTTCAAATTTGTCACTTTGCTCCTTGGTCTGGAATAGAGTGGGGTTGAACTCTTCCCATTCAGAACTTGAGGCAGCCAATTTTTCTGAGTTTTTCTTTTTTCTTAAAAATATCCTGAGATCAAACAAGCGACAATTCACGTAGGCACATTTACGAAACGAACAAGACTCGGTCGACCTGTCCCTAAACAGGTCGACCTATACACTACATGCATAGACAAAACCATAACAATGATAGTTCGACCTCTAAACATCATCGGTCGACCTCTGTTTGCAAGAAAAATCAATAACCCCAACATTTTCATAAATCAACAATACAAAAAACATAAATAGGTCGAGCTCAACAACATAATAGGTCGACCTCAGTTAATCAAACACAAGAATGGGTCGAAGCAAACCCATAACATTTGGAGTCAAAAACATCATAGGTCGACCTAATAAACACCATAGGTCGACCTTAGTGAATCAATCACAAATATGGGTCGAAGAAGAAGGCCAATACTCGTAACATTTGGAGTAAAAAACAGCATAGGTCCACCTAATAAACACCATAGGTCGACCTCAGTTAATCAAGCACAAATATGGGTCAAAGAAAAAGGCCAAGACTCGTCAAAAACGTCATAGGTTGACCTCAAAAACATCATCGCTCGACCTCAGTTAATAAAAATAACGAGAATGGGTCGAAGAAAGCGCATCCACTGCATGACATTCACACCACACTCGGTACTATTCCTTTGCCCTTGAACGCGTAGCTCTTCGAAATTGAACTCTCCAAAATTTGGTACTGCTACATTGCTCATGTGCTCCAATTTGAAGATATCATTCAATTTGGACAACTACACACAAATAACGAATATTATATGCTTCTAGCATAATACCTCACACTTAGTAGTCAGAAAATTATAGGAAACACTTAAATAATTTCTTGCAGAGGTTTGATTTATGCTTACGATTCGCCTCACTAGTTGAAGGTAGACTGTTAATTAAAAATGCGGTTTTTTTCTGGACATTGACGAGATAAAGAAACCAGTGACGTGCTTCATCGTCTAGAACTGGCATAAATATCTAGCAACAAAAGATTCACTGTATGTGTTATAAAAAGCGAATACAAACAAATGCACTTTGGAAGCTTAATGAGATAGGGACATTGACTAACCTTCTGGCATGCACTAACATTCGGCATAAACACCACGCCATCATCCATCAACTTGATACGAATTTGTTTGGTCTTCATGTTAGCGCGTACCATTTTTTGCACCATATTTTAATTGAGATTAATTGACATGGTACAATATTAATAACTAGGTTATGAAAAATAAATAAAAATTACGGCTCTTACCGAAAAAATATTTGGCACATACCACACATTTGGCTCTTTGACCTCATGTTTTTCAGACATTGTTAGTGCCCTTGCACACAAATCCACTACCTATCAACCACAAAATCCTCATAAATCGTAAGATAAATAGTGCACAATTCGTATGAAATTCGTAGCAGTGTAGTACTTACGGATGAGCAAATCCAGCTACTCTCGCTAATGACCAAACTCAAATAGTTTCGTTGCACGTTTTTAGTAAAAAAAGTCAACAATGGTCAAACTGCAAAAACCAAAATAACAGAAATGTCAATTGTGATTTGCACAGTAGAGATCGACCTATTCAAAGTAAAGGTCGACCTCATTGGCTAAACGGTCGACATCATTGGCTACTTAAAAAAAAGTCTCATACTTGTCCCAATTCGTGTCTCCGGCCTTCTCTTTAGTAACATCATAAAACAAGTCTTCAACTAGATTTTGTAGATTTTTTGTGAATCCTTCTAGGCCCTCCACTTTCATGACCTACAAATCATAGTTAAAATTAAAGTTATATATGAACACAAACACACATTATAGATGAATATGTAACATAAACTTACTCCGTGCTTTTCAAAAGGACTCTTAGATTCATCTTCGTCGCTAACAGCACTAAATAATGCTTTTCTTACTAAATGATCCTTCTTTTGAGCGGTGTAGGAGTCACTTTCATATCAATGTTTCTTGTACTTAGGAGAGAAACCTTTGCTGCCAAACATTGTTTCACTTTGTCAAACATATAAATAAAACAAATTAGCACTAATGATAGTAATACTAATATCTTTACTCACATATGAATATACTTGTCTACGTTTAACTTGTGCTCTTTCAATAAATCGTCTATGTTGTGGTAGCAATTTGTAAAGTCATCCTGGTCTTCCTCCTCTACATCAAAGTCAAATTTCTTTCTTGTACCATCTCTTCCTCCATTCTCCATTTGTTCTGCACTTATTTTTTTGATAGACCTTCTAGCCTCTCAAAACCATCATGCATCATTCCAACACCAGAAAGGTAACTCTAACTTATCTACCACTTAATTCGACCCATTGACGTCCTAAATATCTATAAATACGAATATATGTCACCTTCACCGCCACCGAAACTCTGAATTAAGTTTTTTTTACGATTAGGACCTTTGTGAAGAAGATCATTTGCGGTTGCTATTGTACGTGTTGCAAGAGGTCGGCCAAGTCAAAGGTGAGGTCGACTTAATGTAACATTCACCGTCATCTTGTCTAATGCGTAATTTCCACCGTTTAATTTGAGGTATTGTTGCGTGAAGAATACCATTCGGTCGACCCTTATCTCAATCAGGTCGACCTCTGTTTGACAATTGCTCGAAATTGAATTTAGGGCACAACACTTGGACTTTTTTACTTGCGAGGTAATTGCTCCACCGTATCACAAATGGACTTTTGTTAGTCATTGAATTCTTTTTGACACACCACCAGCTGCTCTTGTGTGGTTTTCAACACTTTCATTATTTCACACAAATCGTGTTGTTGTCTCTCATCATGCGCCATCGTCTAAACAATTTAAAGAAAATTTCTATCGTGGTTAAATCGTGCTTGACACATTGCTCCAACCCGAGTCTCGATTTATGTTCAGAAACGACCAAAAATTGTAAAATCATACTGGATGTCATGCCCGAAAAGTTAACATTAGTGTATTTTGTGCTAAAATTGTAATTTAAAAGTGGTTAAATCAAGCTTGACACGTTGCTCCAACCCGAGCCTCGATTCATGTTCGGAAGAAAAAAATTGTAAATCCAAACCTTAGGCTTGACACGTTGCTCCAACCCGAACCTCGATTTATGTCGAGAAAATAATAAAAAATTGTAAAACCATTCCGAAGGTTGTACTGGAAAATTTAGCATTAGAGTATATTTTTGCTAAAATAGTAATTCAATTGTGGTTAAATCAGGCTTGACATATTGCTCCGACCCGATCCTCGATGTATGTTCAGAAAAATTCAAAAATTTTAAAATCATACCAAATGTCGTATCGGAAAAGTTAGTATTAAAGCATTTTGTGCTAAAATCATAGTTCAACTCGTGGTTAAATCATTTCATATATCTATCGATTTAGATTTTGTTAGTAGTTTATCCATCAGGCAGCTGCTAAACGCGGTCACAAATCAAATACGAGTTAGCAAAAAATACATCTAATCCTATGAGAAGCCGCAATGAAGAGCGGTACAGAAGCGCTACCTAGTACCAATTGAGAATGCATATGTGCATAGTTTTTGACATAGGTAGAATTGGTTGATAGTCCACGAAGAGCAAGCTCCCCTACAGTCTCTATCCAAAATTTCTGACATACTACTACAACCACCACCAACGATAAGTACTGAACCAAAAGTCCAAAACAAACAAAAGCAAAATCAAAAGCTAATTCATTAGTTTAAGGTTTGAGTCACTTGTATTCCTAGGTTAGTAACTGTCAAAGTGATACGGAAATTAAACTTTAGGACAAAAGTGATACGGTAAAAAATTAGGGGTACAAGTGACCCAAACCCTAAAGTATTAGGCCAATTCATTATTATCTAGAAAATAATACGTCTAGGCGCTAGGTAGCGAAAAATGCCCCGCCTAGGGCCTAGGTATACAATTATACATTCAAACGCCTAGGAGCTGCCAAGACACCACCTAGGCGGAGCTAGGCGTGTTTAATCACAACTAAGCAGTCTAGTGACTAAAGATAAACAAATAAATTAATGTATTAAAATTTCCCAACATGACGTCTTTCTTATGTTCGATTAGTTCATCCCAAGTCCCAACCACCCGTCCTACACATGTCGTCCTTATGTTCGATTAGTTACTCTCCCATTTGTATCTAATTTCGGTCGACCAAGTCTTCTTTCTTACTTTTCACAGTCGCGATATGTAAAAATTTTATAATCGATTAAAACGCTTAGGAGTCCTAGGCGCTAACCATTACTTCAAACTATACCTAATCACTTCTTCATTAGTTCCATTTTCATCGTTAGTTTCCTGATTACCCATTTCTGCCATTGCTACCTCTCCGGTCAGTCGGGACCAAAATCTTGACGGGGAATTTGCATACGAGGCAGGGCTCATTAACCTGAAGCGGGCCGCGAATACTGGACTGATAGACCCGTCTTTCACCCACTAAGGAAAACCTGGGGGATTTGTGAAAATGGTGTTTCGCAGAACTGTCACTAATGTTGGGACAGGGCACTCCAAGTACAAGCCAAAGGTGAGGTCCTCTAAAGTGTTTAAGATCATGGTGAACCCAAAAGTACTGAGGTTTAAGGATGTGGGTGAGACGATGTCGATTCTTGTCACTATGAAGGAAAAGATGAAGCAGAGTGGGATTCTCTCTGGTGTTCTTGGTTGGTCTTATGGGTGTCATAATGTCAGGAGTCCAATTGTTGCTCATAAACTACAATAACCTTCATTTCGTGTTTTTTTTCCGAAATAGATGTTTGATTAAACTCAAATATAAATATTTTTTGGGATAGGAAATAACAATGTACTCGACGTGTCCAAAGCATGCATGTACTTTGGAGTCTTGATGTATTTTCTTATGACAGATTTAAAAGTACCAACATTAGTGAGGGATTCGAGCTCGTATTAAGTTTTGGGGCTTCAATATGGGATCTATGTTTCCAGGCGTCCGAACTCCCTAGCATGGTCATAAAGCTTCTTTATTTTGCAATGACAAACTTGAAGATACTTGAAATTTTGTAGGGATATTAACGATAATTTAGACACGTGTTAATGAGTTTTTAGGTTTTGGTCGAAATCAAATAGCTGATAATTAAGTATCTTACACACATCTAACAGTTGAATGACCACGAGAGTGCAAGGAGAAAGTGGTGGGGATATCATTTTTAAGCTTGCACGGACCTTAGATAACTTATTGAGAGTAAACAATCATTCAACGACTTAGTAGGTATTAATTCTTGAAAGAAATAACTTAACCTTAGTAATAAGCTCAATTATGAAACTAAAAGTTGGAACGATACCAACTTCTCGATTTATGTCAATAGTGAATAGATCGTCTAGATTCAAAGGTTTCCAGCTATATATTTCTCTCTTTAACCAAATCCAAGCGTTTTTGTCTCCCGAAACTTGGGTCCACACTATCCTCTTAATTAAGGACGATCGAGGTGTGCAACTTGATTCGGAAACACTGATACCACACCCTTGATACCTGTGAAAAATACATTTAGGATATAGCATCATATATCTCAAACTCTAAATATTAAATACTACCCAAAATTAATCAAATAAAACATAACAACTTACTTGCTAAATGCTTTGCTTCAGTTTCACTGAGTTTTGCTGCAAACCCACTTGTAGAGTGATAGTCATAGACAAGAGATTCCTCTGGTGTGCTATATCAAAGACAGAGGCAGTCAAGAAAAAGCGTAGAGTGAAATGGGTTCTGAAGGAAAAAATTGTTACTACAGTAATATTTTAGGATTTTGCTACGGTGACATGCATGTCACCGTGACATGGACTTTTCGGTCGACCTAATCCACAAGGCGGTCGACCGAATTGACAAATTCAGTTATGTGAGGTTCAGAGACGCGGTCGACCGTCTACATAAAATGGTCAACCTCTTTGGTGGTATAACAGAATGAAAGGTCGACCCAAATACCTCATAGGCCGACCCTTGTGCACCTATCAGGTCGACCTCATCAGTAAGAGGTCGACCGCATGCACACCGTATCCGTATTGGATAAGGATTCCAACAGCAGAAAAGTTCCACAACTGGACAAGAAGACGAATTGGGTCGACCCATTCACGTCCTAAATCTCTATAAATACGAATATAAGTCCCCTTCAACGCCACCAAAAGTCTGAATTAGCTTTTTTTTATTTAGAGCATTTGTGAAGAAGATTGTTCGCGGTTGCAGTTATACGTGTCGAAAGTGGTCGACCACGTCTAAGGTGAGGTCGACCTAATGTAGCATTCACCGTCATCTTCCCTGATGCGTGATTTCCACCGAAAATAACAACTTAAACTAAGTGCGGTGGACCAGGTGGTCGTTGAGGTCGACCACAATGCTTTCTCGTGCTGCCCAAATTAGTCAATTCGGTCGACCGCCTTCAAGATTAGGTCGACCGAAAAGTCCATGTTACGGTAACATGCATGTCATAGTAGGCATACCCAATATTTTATATTGTTGAAGCATACATGTCTTGAAGCACAGTCTTGAGAAGATCTAGATGCGCAGGTTTGGTACTTGGTATAATCTGTGAATCCAGAAACACCAAGTAAACCTGCAAAACTGAGGATTTAAGAATTTTATGGATTGTAAAGTCTTACAGGAAAATTTGACGATAAAATAACTTTATGTTTGAAATTTTTGTTTAACCGTGATTCAATCATTTCATACTGATATAAACCTCCTATCAATTTAACCTCTAATATAAAAATATTTTCAATCGGACCGCTGGTTTGATACAATTTCACCAACATCAAACAATTTACACATTTGAAAGCAAAAGCCAAACTAATAAGTCAATAGATATGATTATCAACAAAAGGGGAAATAAAAAAAATGATTACATCTAATTGTTGGAATTTTACATAACCTTACCTTCCTAGGAGTAATACTGGCCGCGTGGCCATGAGTAATGGCAGTAGAAATGAAGATGATGACAAAGGTTGTTACTAGAGGGACAAATCGTAGAGTTTTTGCCACAACCATTTCAGCAGGTGATAAACAAATGAACAAGTCGACTCTTTTTGTTCTTTTGTTTTTGTTTTTGTTTTTGTTTTTTTCCTTTCCTCAAAATTAGATTATATATATAATACTAGCTAGGGCAACAAATTAAGAGTTACTTTGCCATCAGTTATGCAAATGTAGAGTATATAACACAACATTAAAGCGAAACATTAATAATGCTAATGAAGAAGAGAAACTGAGAAAATTTAATACCCATCGCAAAAGAATCAAGACCAAAAAGAAAGAAATGTTTACCTTTCGAGTTTTGAGTGAGTTTTCGTTATCGTTTTACGGATTCCTTCGTTCTTTCGGCAATATTATGATTTATTGACATTATATTAATGAGAAAAAGCTTTCAACATATTATGTTGTATATTTTTTCATAGGGATCTTTCATTACGGTGATAATGAGGTATTGAATGACGTCTCAAAATCACTACTAGCTAATTTAAGTAGTAATTGTTGTATATAATTTACAACTAGTTTATTGCCCGGCCCGTTGGTCGGGACAGTATTTCAGCACCATGTTCTTATAACTTGCATTTTAATTTGATCAAATTAAATGCATATTTTTGCATCGTCTTATCAAAACTAACAATCGATTTGTGAAAACTTGATGACATTGCAATATAATTAACGGTTAATATTTTTGTCTAGTCCGAATGTTTCTCACAAAGTCACTAGTCATGTTGTTGCTCATAGTCATACACTACAATAACCTTCGTTGCTGGAGTTCTTTTTGGTTCTAAATAGAAGTTTGTTTTAACTCAAGATATATCTTTTGTTTGGATAGGAAATAACGATGAACTCGACATGTGGTTTATTGGACATTCCATTACAAGAATCCTTGTTTGTTCTAGGATTGATCGACCAAGCTCTTATTTCCTTGTGCCTAAACTTGATCATGTCTATCGGCACATCATCAAAGGTTTTTCTATTCCTTGAGTCGAATCAAAGACATAAAGATTGAACTCTTATTGTGCTAGAAACACAAGTTAGTGTTCATTTTAGGCTTTTAACTCTTTGATTGATTTGATGCTTAACCTTTTCGGGTCGTTTGCTTCATGGATTTGAAAAATGAGGGTTTTGGTAAAACCTGGGTTTTGGAAAACCATGGATATATGATGGATTTGGTGGCATTATGGATTTAAACAAGTCTATTGTTTGCTTGATGGATTTGATTATGGACTTTGTTTGATTAGATTTGTGGATATTAAATACAAATTACCTATTTACCCTTATTTAATTATATTTCGATATTCTAATCCAAATCTTTCATTTAAAACTAATCCAAAACATAGAAAGAAATTTTAAACTTTTTACCACTATGTGGATTAATAATTCAACTACAAATATAGAAATGTATTACAATTTGGCACTAATTAACAATTCATATAATAATGTACGCAATATTATGTATCAATTGCAGCCAATTGCTAGCTTTATTGCTACAACTCATCATCTTCTTGCTAACTCACCGATGTGGAATCCGACAATCAATCAAATAATAATGTACAAGATGAGCATAAAGTGTTTCTAGGTGAATCTAACAAATCACATATACATTCATATTTAAATAAAATACGATATTACAAAATGAAATGATAAATTCTCATATTTATAAAATACGAAATTATAAAAGTTTACAGTTGCATGACCATTGAATTAAAGTAGGATCAAATTTGTAATTAAAGAAATAATTAAGGGTAGAAAGGTAATTTACCATCATGGATTTTAATCCATCACCCAAATCCCACCTCAAGAGGTGGAACTTCCAAGTCCGTGGGGTCCACGGATTTGGAACCCCAAAAGAGGTGGGCCCCACAAATTCTATCTCCCTAATTCCCTAAGGCAAACGATGGATTTCGGTTCAACTCCATGATGGATATAATTGCATAACCAAATCCATCACCAAAACCCTCAAGCAAACGACCCCTTTATCTTATTCTCGCCTAGCTAGCTTAGGATTTGAATCCCTAAAGAGATGGGAGTTAGCGATCAATAAACCCAGTAAGTGACTCACACTCTCGCGGAGCAACACAACTCAATTGTGAAAATGATCTCACAAGATTGAGAGTTGTTGGATCCTCATTGAATGATGTGATATCAATTTATTTACAAAATTATCACAGCCTCCGTTCAACAAATACGAAGCGCCAACACTCAATTCAACGGCTTGGGCCCCTTGTGAGCACATCCGCGTAGTTTAAGTTGTAGGGAGGATAGTTGCTTGTTCATGCCATTGTATGCATAGCTTTCATGAACATTTTTTTTTTTTTGTAAAAGATAATCATATATTGATTCAAAAAGAGATAATTACATCCTGGAACCAAGCCAGGCCTGGAAATCAAAAACACGACTCATAGTCGGAGACAAAGAAAGAGCCTTTCTAGCCACCCTGTGGGCTACCCTATTGTTACTCCGACCTACAAAGAGATGCTCCGACGTTTCAGCTTCTGCCCAACACACCGGGCACCTTGGGTGCACCTGAACCCCTCTCTCAATCAGAGCCTCAGCAGTCGGCAAGATTCGGTTCAAAATCTGCCAAAGAAACACCTTTAATTTCGGAGGGATGTTCGCTCCCCAAAGACGGACCCAGCTTGACTTATCCATCCAGCTTACCATAGACCGCCACCCACCCTCCTGCCTATCCATACGGACTGCAAGATGATAAGCTGATTTTACAGTAAACAAACCATCCGCAGTGTCAT